ATGCCCCCTTCCCCTCCACACAAGCCAAATTGCGCGCTGTTAGGATGCTTCAACTGGCTCACGAGAATTCATGAGCAATCTTATCGTCGCTTTATCGCTCCTGGAATTCTTTTTAGAAATTACCTCAGTGTTCAATGAATTTGTTTAGTTTCAAAGAACTGGTGGAGTTTCGCTGTGGGTGGTCTGTCTGATGGATGTAGGTTTCGCACGGCGTCTCGGGCGCTTGGTAGTTTACCGAGAGCGCTATGATCAACCGCCGGAAAGTGCTTGTACGTTTGTGACAAACTCACTCATTCTTGAAGGAAAGGTCAACGTACTCTCTGAAAAGGTAAGGCATAATGGAATCTGAAGAGTTTCCCTTTAATGTTGTGACATTTTCTTGAATACTCTAAAATTTCCTTTAAGGAAACCGCCGATTTCCTTATATCTGTAACACCAGATAAGGATCGACGAGATCAAGTGGCAAATGGCTTGCTTTTCTATCTGCTGACTGACGGCGCCAATTTCAACAAGGTAGACCTTTCTGCAATTCAAAGCACTAGTTAAAAAAGAATTGGGGTGCGTGTCCTAGAAGGCTGGGCTCATACTTTGCGACGCTTTGAAGAACTGGCGGCGCGAGAAGGAAAGTATAGGTGCCGTTCTCGCGTTTCGCGAGAGACGGCGTTTTGAGCGCCGATCAATACCACCATCTTTTTCGCTCAGAGCGTCGATTCTCTCAAAACGGGAGAGTGATACCTATACTTTCCTTTTCTCCAATTCTCCCTAACGCCGATTCTTCCGACTTCCGACTCGCAGAGTATAGCCTAAAGGGAACGGAAGTGGTTCACCCACTGCGGATGTTCTTCTCATCGTTCCACTACCTTTCCTTTAGCAGTAGGAAAACGGTATTCGTGCTATCATACTTGTAGGGTGATCCGACTCAAAATGCCTGGGAACTGAGCCCGGAAGTTATCCTTTGTCCTTTTTCTTACCTGATGCGGAAACTAGTGTATCGTGATTTTTTCAGTATTTCCGTTGCCTATCTGTCATTGCGAATGATCAGTGGTATGCAACCCTCTGTAACGTGAATATGATTCTGATCGAACTGTGGCCGAAATTGCACGAATCGTGCCGAGAACTGATGCTGCAGTTTTTTCGAGAGGCTGTGAAGCTGAACGTGCCGAAGGTACAAATTACATCAGTTTCACTATGTCTTGAACATTTCTAAAAAGAGATTGTGCTATAGTATCTACAGGGGGCCAAAAAAGTCACTTTTCTTCCTTGACTTTCGAGGCGCTATAAGTTACACTTTATTAAATTCTGATCGGACATTTCTACCACCATATTCAACAGCATATTAAATACTATCATGATACTCCGCCACAGCCTTCTGGAGGAGCGCCATCGAGAGATTCTGCCACGCGACCGTGATTCGGTGCCTGAGTTCAGCGAGATCGTTGATTTCTCCGCCACTGTAGCACCCTGTTGAGCTCCGCCCGAACCGGGTAATTGAGGGGGTTTAGGTCAGGTGACCTACTTAGATATTCCATCTTCTTCAGGTACTCAACGCCCTTCCATTCCAAGTAGGCGAGAGTTTTTCCAACGCCCTTCGATTCCATGTGGTGGCACCCAAACCTGTAGCAGTACAAAGTTTCCAAGAAGGTACGGGCGACGACATGTGGGGAGGATATTCTTCTCGAGTTGCTCGATGTAACCGCCAGCGCTCACCTTCAGTCCGGGGTCCACGAAGAAAATATCGGTCTTTCCATTCCAGGTACGTCCGGTCCATACCATCAACCACCCGCGCCTTGGCGACCCCCTGCGAACCTGAAAAGCATGATTTTCCTGACGCTCAAAGTGACGTTGTCGGAGCGTCCTCGGATGATTGGTAGGTTCCAGACTCGAGATTACTCGGTCGGTCAGCAGCCACCCCGGGGCACCAACCGGAAACCAGGGGGGGCACACCACCACCTACAACACCAAAACACACCCCCAACGGGGGGGGGGGGGGGTGGCCCAGAACCCAACCGCAAAGACAAAAAAGCGCGATGCCCGCACCACCCTAACAAACACGGAGCGAGCGATATTCGAACGACACACGACGCCACCGGAAGAAGACAGAGGAAGAGAGCAGACACACACCGACCGGCACAAGGACAAGTCAGCTGGCGGAATGACGGGGGGCGCTCAGCACCTGATAAGGCCGGCCCGCAGCGGCCGGGGCCCCAATGGTTTTAAAAAAAAAAAAAAAAAGAAAAAAAAAAAAAAAAAAAGAAAAAAAAAAAGCGGGCCCCGGCCCGGCGCCCCCCGCCCCGCCCCGCCCCGCGCCGAGACCCGCCCCGCGTGAAAAGTGCCCCCCCCCCCCCCCCCCCCCCCCCCCCGCCGCGCCCGCCTGCCCGCCGCGCGCCCCCCCCCGCGGTGCGCCCACCGCCGCCCGCCAAAAATTTTTTTGTTTTTCCCCAGGAAAGCACGGGGGGGGGGGGGGGCGGGGGGGGGGGCTTTTTTTGTTTTTTTTTTTTTTTTTTTACAGTTTTTTTTGGGGGGGGGGGGGGGGGGGGGGGGGGGGGGGGGGGGGGGGGGGGGGGGGGGGGGGGGGGGGGGGGGGGGGGGGGGGGGGGGGGGGGGGGGGGGGGGGGGGGGGGGGGGGGGGGGGGGGGGGGGGGGGGGGGGGGGGGGGGGGGGGGGGGGGGGGGGGGGGGGGGGGGGGGGGGGGGGGGGGGGGGGGGGGGCCCAAAAGAAAAAAAAAAGAAAAACCCCCCCCCCCCCCGGCCACCCCCCCCCCACCCCCGCGGCATTTTTTGTTTCCATAACCGGCCCAGGGCCCGCCGGCCCGCCCACATGAGAGTTTTCGCAGCTGTTTGGAGGTGAGCATGATTCAAAGGTTCTTTTCAGTCAGGCGCGATTGGAGATGACTTCATATTCTGGTGTACATGAAGGTGAATGGCGGGAGCCTGCTCCTGCTTATCGAGGAACATCTTGGGTATCTTCCGCCCTGGTACTCGTATCCACGTTCTGTCTGGGCTGCGAAAACTTTGCTGATATGTGACTCGGTCGAAGTGACTTCCCCCCCCCCCTGTATTGTATTAGACCACGGGCTACCTCGAGGCACGCCCAGCGTTGATATTCAGGCTCCTCCTTTGGGCATGGTAGTCCTGTCAGAAAGCGTGAGGATGTGACACTGTCGCAGCTCAAGAGTAGCCCCCGCTTGCGACGCTAGGCCAGCCGGCCCCCTGGCCACTGCAACCGATCCACTCAAGTTCTGAAGCGCTTCCTCCTAGTGCGTTTGTTTGCCTACTAGCTACTGTCCATTATGAATGATTGGAAGTGATGGTGGAAAGGAGAAAAGCTGATACGCAGGATAGGTAGATCTTGTCAACCACCCGCCTTTCTTTGCGGCCTTATGCATGTACAAGCGCTGTTGAGGTTCTCTACGGGTACTTTGCTAAGGCTGTTTTTCGGCGGTTCGTTCCGCTTTTGTTTTGGCTTGTCTTCTTGTCACTTCGGCACTGGCCGTTAGAGCCGCTCCCAAAGCTAGCCATCTTTTTGAAGGAGCCAGGCGTGCTTTGGCGAGCCAGAAATGTTGCAGTTGTCCTTCTTCAGTGGGATTATTTTAGATCGAGAACGTTATCATGAATCTAGTGCGATCCATTAATGGCAGCGTGGAATGGAATCATAAGCTGCGACATGCTCATGCGGTGAGCTTTCGCTTTTCATTGTTAGTATCTACTTTTATATTTACTACTGTTAAAGATAGCATCGATTCTAAACGAGAATGAGGCTTGGGTTATGGGTCTGAAGCAAGGGACATTCATGCTGCTGAACGTATTGACAACCTTTGGGCATTTGATTGTCGATGTACCAACCGGTGGACCATTTGATCATGTGCGCGCAGCTATGATACAGAGTGTGGTCTTCATCATTCGGTGAGTTGCGATCAATTCTTTTAATTTTCATGCTATTTATTTATTCACGTTTAAGTTAAAACGCTCCAATGGCGAGGAGACCGTGTAAACGAGCAAGTCTCCAAAGCAAACAACATTAAACAAATTATTTGCAACCACGGTCCACTAAGTAAAGACGTCAGAAAAAAATCTGTAGAAGTTGGTCAGTGAAGATAGAAGAGTTTCAGGTCTCAGAGTCGGGAAAGGGGGTTTGGGGGATGGGCTGAGAATTTGTTTGCCATGCAAAGGTTCTATGGTTTCCTTAGAAGCATTTCGAGTCTGTTCAAGTATACAAGAGAGTTGTTCCCACTAGCACAAGGTTTATGTTAGTCTGACGATACGTCATAAGTAAGAGTTTTGGGCGCAGTTTGGCTTGGTGGGGACATTTTGCTGGGTCGACCATTGCCGATGCCTCCTGTGAAGGACTGTAATTTCCTGATAAGCTAATAATATCAATTGCACGTATAAGTCAACACCAATTGGCAAAGGAATCTGCTGGAGTTGCATTGGTCAAACAGCGCCGATTGTGAGAAACAGCTTTCACTGCATATTTGGACTGATTTATGTACGAATGTTGGTACAAATTCCCCGAACTGAGTCACATTTCGATGTGAATATCAATATTTATCAGCGAAAATTGTTCAAACCCACAAGTAGAAGTGTCAAATCCATCAGAACCAATCCAAGCCACCAGTAAACTTTGCCATCTTCTCGGCAACACATTAATGCTTCTCTTTGAAGCTGATCATTCAATTTGAGAAATGTCAAGCTCTTCGGTGACTAATGCTGAATTTAATGTTCTTCGCGCCATTTTTGCCAGCTTCTTTTCAGAATATGTGGGCAATATGAGGGCCCAAGATCCGCGCTGCCAGGGTCAGATTCAGATCGTTTGCGTCACTGTTTGTTTAGAGTTTACATTATCTCCTGTAGAACTTCACGATTAATTCAGGAATCGCTTCGGAGATGCGTGCATTCTTGGTCGGGAACTGCTTCTTGTACTTATGCGTCTGTCAAAGGTTTCCTGCGATTAACGCTAGTTGTGAGTGATCTCGTGACCAGCTCCATCAAGATTTTGGTCTAATGACCGGTAAGCTCTTGTCAAATTCTGTTTAAAGTCATAAAACATTTGAGTAGATACTAAAAAAAGAAGAGCTATCATCCAGTGCATTTCAAGCAGGGCCGTAGAGATTTGGTTTTGTCTGAATAGTGCCCTTTTTTAGAGCTGTACTTTTTTATTCAAATTCTTTACGCCACGTCTGTAATATTTTTTGTTTTTTTTTGCCAAATATTTCACATAAATTGTTCAGATGGGGGCTTTGAAATTTTTTTTTCATTGTAAAGACCTGCTGGGACGTGACTCACCTTCGTTCTAGGTATTGAGGACCTTTTCCGGCAGAGTGCTAATTTCTATGGTGTTCGGCTCTCCGCTGAAATGACAAAGAAGATAGAATTCATCATTTGCCAGTGCAAACCCAGTACACAGGATAAACATTTCGAGTGGTTCTCAAATTCGGTATGGTATTTTAATTTACCAAAAATAATGTCATTTTGTGGTGTTTTGCCGTTCGAACATAACATTGCAATGGTATTCAGTTCTTCCGCGGGCCGGATGGTTTGAGTCTTCGAGCAGAAGCGATCCGCTATGTGCTTTATTTTTTCAAGCCGGATATGCCATCTCATGTGCTCGACGCTCGTAGCCATTTCCTCTACTATTTGCTAACGAGTTTCCCTCCCAATGTGAGTTATGGTTGATATTTCATGGTCTGCTTAGGCAGCTAATAATAATAATGATCTCAAGGTTTCGAAAATTCCGTCTCACGGAGAGTGGAAAGGTTAAACTGTGGAATTACGACTTCATGGGGGAGGACGGGGGAAATCCTACTGCGTGACTGAGCCTGCTTGTCTACGCGCTCTTAGGGTTCCTTCATACTTTGCGTCGGCGTTCTGAGCGTACGACAGCGCTGTCAGCGACTGGCCGCGAAAAGCTAAAAAAGCTGGCGTACGCTCAGATCGCTGAACAGATCGCTTACCTGCACTTTCCTAGGCTCTCATAGTGTCTACCTTCAAAAAAAGTATCAAAACGCTGACAAAAAGTATGATCTACTACTATGTCCCTCTTACCGGGACAGTAGTTTTCTCACTGCTATTAGGGTGGTTTAGCGCTAGAGAGCTCAAGCGGCTATTTTAGTCTCGCCGCGTGCTTCCTTCCTGCTTAAGTAGCGCCAACTTCATTTATCTCAACCTTTTTGCTGACTGAGCTTTTGGAGAAAGCTTTTTCTTGTGGTTAGGCTGCGTTCTTATAAAGAGATGTTGCGGTATCGGGAGAAAAGGAATGTATACGTATTGATGTGCATTCTGTTCCCCCAATTCCGCGGCCTAGTTTTGTCGCCGATATAGCGGCTTATCCCGATTCTGATTGATATAAACGGTCTTATAGACCATACGTGCAATGCTAAGTTTTCTACCAATATTCTAATTTTTTCATAAGGGAAAAGTTTTGCTCTTGGCTTATGTAAAACTAAATATCAGGTTTTTTTCAGACTGATGTTGAACAGCAGTGGTGCAAGACTGTCGTATGGTTTGATTGGCTTACTTATGATGCTCATACGTTAGTGCAATTCATCGAGCCTGTTATGGGCATGATAAGACAAGCCCTTGCAAATTTGCCATCAAAAGCGAGTTCAATGCTGGAGTATGTCTGCAAAGTGAGATTCTTATCGATTCTTTGATTTTTTTTGATAGCTTTCACCCATTCAGAAGGTTTACCCTCTCATTCTTTTCAGAGTATCACGTTTATTTATCCTCCACGTACAGAATTGTTCAAAAAGTGTGCAAATGATGCTATGCAGGCTGTGCATGACTACTATGGAGGGTTCGTTTTCGTTTGATCTGGTCAATATTTCCATGCTATGTTGTTGGTTTATCCCTTTGCTATCACGAAGCACGATCACGATCGTATCACTACGAATCCCCTAGATTCTGGATCGGCCCCCACCCAGGCCAACCAAGCCTTATACCCTATGGGGACGTTAAATTTGTATCGGACTCGTCTGGGAATAGAACCACTGATATTGTACATCGGCTGTTCCGAAATCTTTTTTTATAGGCTAACATTGCCACTCCATAAAAACCACTGCGATTGACCGAAGCAAAAACAAGTGCGCGAATCAGTTCCAGTGAGATATTCTCTACGACGGAAAAGTCCTCATCTCTTTTAGATTTTCGCATATGTTGGGGGAGTCGGTGAAAAAAAAAGAGGGGAGGACCGAACTATGTGCTGTGAACTTAGAATACGCACAACTGCTCACAAAAAAGCCTGCTGATCGCAGCCCTGTTAAATGAGTGCATGAATCAGTGCCAGCAAATAAAATCGGAGGATTATATCAGCACGTAAGGGTAGAGATAAGTAGTCGAGAATCGTGTTGCGAATCTACGTATACCCGCCTCAGTATCTGTCACTTCGCGAGCTCCCCAGCAACTCAGTGTGCCAGAAGACACTCGCATCTCAGTAAGCCCTGTCCTGAGTGAGTTTGAGCATGCGTGGCGCACTCCAAAAAGAATTGATCAGCAACGTAGTCTTCAATGTATCCTTTACGAATGTTTCTTTCTCAATTTCTGATCACCTTACTGACTGGCAAATTATTACGTTTTCATTTTAGAAACCTTGTCGCAATTTTGGACAGTCCTCGCATCGACCGCAATGTCAGAGAGCTTGTACGGGAAACATTCGCTGATTACTTTGCTCGTAATACCAGCCTTCCATCGCCGGCAACAGCCCCTTCAATGCCATCTCCTGCTCCTCCAGCTGCTGCGCAGCCACCGCCACCAGCCAGGTAATCTTTGCTCTCCAAAGAATATTACGGTGTTTTGTGAAAGAAGTGGTGAAGAAAGTTGTCCGGTTTCAGGCCTCTAACCGCAACGGCCCCCAATTCAAATCATGCACCTGTTGCTAAAGAAAAGTTCCGATTGAAGGATAGGGACAAGAATAAGGAAAACGACAGAGACGATAAGGAAAGAGGAAAAGTGAATAAAACGCCAAGTCCACCGAATGGCACTTTGATTACATCAAAAATGGATGAGGTAAGTCTACGCACTATGCTACTCTGGCTTCAGCAGCTAGACAAATAATAACTTGGTTAATATTCATATTTTCGCCTATTCGGCTTAATTCAGACCAAGAAGAAGGAGCGAGAAAAAGAGATTGATGAGTTGATGGAGCAACTACGAGACGATTTCAAAACTACAATGATGACCTTGAGGTTTATTCTGCATAGCTCTAAAAGGCTTTGTTCGGGATTGCCGGCTGGGCGGGACTGGTGGACGGCGTCGTCGGTGCTTCCATAATCTTCCCCCCTTCTTGCCTGCAAGAAGGGGGGAAGAAGAGCACATCAACCACGTCGTTTCCTGACTCCGCTCACCCGGCAGTTGTGCCCGTACCTTGAAAAAAAAACTGAATTTATTGTTTTTCAACCAGAATAAGGATGGGAACTTAGCAGCGGGTACTAACAGATCCACAGCGCTGCCAATGTCTTTCTTCTGGCGTGCTTCGTAAAATTACTGTTTAAGGGAAATATGTGTGACATTAAGTTCATTTGGTTATCGCAATGTTATTCCATTCTAAAGAAACCGTCTCTTTGCTAGGGGGTTCTCTTTCCAAAAATGAGGATAAGTATTGGTGAGAGGTTTCTCCCCGAGACACCTTCGTTCTCAAACACCTAAAAACAAAAAGCTTGAATATTTTTGGCGCTGTTCGGCTTGGTAGGGGCATTTGGCACTTATCTAGTTCCTTGTCTCACCCAGGTGAGACCTGACTTTTGTCAAGTATAAAGAAGCTTCTGCGAATGTCCCTATCAAGTCGACTGCCCCTATATAGTTATTCATCTAATGTTTTTCCAGAGAGGCTTTCCGAGAAACTGAGGACGACAGCGAACGAGGCGAAGCTGTACAAAAATTGCTGCAGAAACTTTTAGAAAATGTGGGTATTTTTGGTTATTTTATTTTTTTGAATGTACGTCACGTCAGTCATCAATATTCCCAAAAAATACCCAAATATTTTGACATTTTTACTACGTTATCCTCACTACCTTCCTGCAATTGCTTTTACCTCCTGCCTCTCTCCCGATCTCTCGCTGGCTTCAATTGTTGTGTAGCTGTGATACTTCGTTAGTTACTTATGTCTCATCCCACAAAATCTCAATGCCTTCAAACGTTCACTTAGTAAGTTAGTTTGATCATTTCCTTCTCCACGTTTTATCTTGTTTGTTTGTTCATTTGGTTGTTTTGTATGTTTGTTTGTTGTTTCTTCCATCAAAATTACATGCATTTAAGCATGTCCATAAATAAATAAATAAATAAATTGTTGAACTGGTTCGGGTCAGCCTGTTCTCCACCTGTTACGGAAGCTGGCAGGCGTCCAGAAATGCTGGAGGACAGGCTGACGCCACGCCAAACACAGCCCCTGAAGTGCCTAGCGTCCGCAGACGTTGACTCGAATTTATTGGTACTTAATTATTTTCTTGAAATTTTCAGGAGGATTCCATTGATGAGGAGCAACTCGAGATAGTGGCGCACTGTGTTCAACTGGTAATGGGTAGTCCAGTAGAAGGCAATCGTCGATCGATACTTCCAGATCCTGTGACAGAAGACTCCCTTCGCAGACTCATTCGCCCATCCTTTATTTATAATCTTCCGAAATCTCTGGTAAGTTATTGGTTTTTGTTAGAGTTCCCTTCAGAATTTTTTGATTTTGAATCACTTTTGAACTTCCAGTTATACCCCGGATACGGACACAACTACGCGATCTCTAATGGTAAACATGATCGCAACTATGCGGGATTATGATAACACGGTTACCTATCTTATGCTGTTCTTTATAAAGGTAACGTTCTGGAGGATATATTTTTTTGTATTTTTTAATGTATTTTTTATATGTTTTATTGTTGGTATGGGGAGAGTTGCAAGGCTTCTGTCAACCCAATATTCTGTGAGGGTTTTTAGAGAACTTCTCAACGCATCTTGTGGCCGAGCATTTGAAAGGAGAATAATAGGGGAGAGGGGAGGGGTAAGGAAGAAAAGTAAAAGAAGGAGGGATTAAAAAAAGGAACAGGGAGGATTGACAGATATTATGTGATGGGGGGAGGGCCAACTCATGAAATGGCACTTCTTCAAACTTTGGTGAAAATCTTTTAGTACCTGAAGACTGCGCTGGAGTGTAGTGTTGAGGTTTCAGTTCTTCCCAGATAAAAACTAGACAGTAAGCAGTTATGTAGCCCAGCCAGTCTTCTTCGTAGAATTTCCTGGAGGGTTCACAGAACTTTCTAGAGTTCCCCGGAAGACTCTTATATTCAAATC